TGCTAGACGTACATCCACGTCCCAGTCCACTCGACTTCTTCGAGTGGTAGACCTTCGGCGCAGCCTGTAATTCTGTACAGCTGCCGGTAGCTTGCTCCACAGTGTAGTGATCAACTACACTGTGATATTGTGCGGTCGTGATAACGAACGAACCGCAAGTGAGGCCATCGCACTCACTCGCAGAACATCCACACGCTTATGGAAGCTCCAAGATGTTCATCAGATGGCCATCTGATGAACAAGCGGCAGGCATCTTCACGGATCGATGCTGCCAGCTCACTCTTGGCTCGTACCTTCTGAGCCAAGGTAATCCCAGGATGACATCAAATTTGTCATCCAGATCCAGTACGATGAAGTCATCATCGTACTGTTCGCCCTCCAACGTGTAGTGGATTCCTACTACACGTTTCTAAACGGTAATCGAGGCGCCTGTTGCAAGGCGCACCGTCATCCTCGTGAGGGGAAAGTCGCGTTCAACGAACTTGAGCCTACGACCCTCTAGTGACTGGCGACGAACAAAGTTGTTCGATGCCCCACAGTCTAATAGGGCACGAAGCGACAAACCATTTGTCGCTTCCAACTTCAAGGTGATGAGCGAAACGTCATCACCAGGTGCAGAGACACACAATGATTGTGTATCTGGAGCAACTTTCGTCAAGAGATTTGCAAATTCTCTAGAGGTTGCTGGATCAGTAGGGCGCTCCGCCCCTACTGACCCCGACCATTTTTTGATGGTCCGTCTCGCTGTTGCGGCTTCGCAACAGCGCTAGACCCACGCCCATTGCTCTTCTTGGCGAATGGTCGTCCATTTCGCTCAGTACTGCTTGGTACTGGGCGTGGGGCACTACACTCATGTGCGAAGTGCCCTAACTTCTGACAGCGATTGCACTTCAGCAATCGCTTGTTGTTTGAAGAGCAAGGTCTCTCGCTCTCAACATAGCAAAGGTCCATTGGTTCTGGACCTCCGATCTCTTGTCGTCTTGGTGAAAGATAAGAGTTTGAGCTAGCATGAGCCTGTCTTATGCTGAAGTCTTCCTGTTCCGCGGCTGATATCGCTTCTTCAAGCGTATTCAGCTCAAGGCGGAACAGGTGGCTCCCGACGGGCCCTTCTGCGAGCCCTTGCATGAACACCGTAATCAACGTGTGTTCATGAACTGGGTTAGCAGTTATACTATTCGCAAGGAGTCGTATATGTTGTGGGTAAGCGTGCACATCACGCTTACCCTGCTTGAGTGTCAGGAGCTCGAAACGAGCCCTGAACTCAGCCCATGGCGGCTCAAACGTTTGTCTGAGCCGAGCCTTAAAGTCATCTAGCGACCTAAACACATTTAGGTCGCTACTCTCGAGCCCCAGGGACCAAGTTTTGGCACGCCCTGCCAAGTGGGTTTGAGCAAATGTGAGTTTCATTTGATCATCTTCGACGCGACGAGCCCTTAGGGCTCTGTCGAGTTCGACAAACCATAGTAACAGGGAGTCTTCCGGGATTCCACTTTACTTGGAGATGTCAACTTTCATGACTTCGGGACGACGCGCATGTGCCGTCCTGCCCACAGCAGCATGGAATTGCTGACGTCTCAACAGCTTTGTCTGTTGATCACCGAGTTCTCTCAACAGATCGGCCTGTTGAGAGCCTTGGTGGTGAAGCAAGGTTACTTTCTCTCTTTCGGCGACAAGTTCATTTTGAATGAACTTGGCTATAGCGGCATGTGGTTGGTCTCTGTCTAGAGACTCCAACATGGCGCTAATGGCGAACTCGCCTACGGTAGAACTCATTCGTTCTACCGCACTCCATTCGATATCTCTCAAATGGGTAAACCCTTCACGCGTGGCGTGAAAGGTCTCTTCATCATCCAACATGTTCATGTTGGATGTTGTGGTCCTTGGAAGGACTACAAAGTGCTACCAGGTGTAATGGGGCACACCCTTGCGTGAACTTAACGCAAGGGTTTTGGGTGCCCCGACAGACGTACACGAGGCGAACGAGGAAGCGTAGGATAAGGAAAAAGTAAAACTGTTATATTAATATAATTAAGTCTTTTTGCTACTGTCTTTTTGTTTAACCTGACTTAATTATGTTAATATGACTGAGTGTATGGTGACGTCTCGTCACCACTCATTGCGCGCGTCCTGCGGCGATTGGTGCATTGATATCATCAAGATATCGACCAATGAGCAGACCCTTTGGTCGCTTCACCAATATCACCATTATCGGTAATATTGTTCAAAGAATATTCAGCTTAATATTCTTTGTTGTCATTGTTTCTTTTAAAGTGACACTTCCATGTAACGGGCTGCCCCGTTTCATAAATGGTATGGGCGAGACATGATGCGTATGGACAAACGATTGACACGTCCAAGCAATGATGGGATAAGCACGAGCTAGCATAGACATGATTGCTGCAGTCACCAGCGCAGACACAGTGGAGAGCTATGGCAAGGCCACCCGCGTTTAGTCTTTGTGCACATGCCAGCATCGAGCACTTGCAAAGAGCATCGCGAAATTGCGTCAGCTACCAATAGTTCTATACTTTACGCATGCACCTTGTTGCCAGTGAGATCCTCGATGACCAACTCTTTGCTCGGACATAAAGCACGAGACGCCTCCGAGTCCTTTGGCGCTTACATCGTATCCTATGACTTCCCAGAGATCTCGCACAACGCCATCACCCCCATATCAGACAAGCCGGACCTTCTCATGAGGCCTGGACTTCGTGGCGCGTGATTGGGAAGCAGCTGGAAAACACGATATCGGCTCATCGCAGTCAGCAGCAACGACATGCGAGCCACATCGGCCGTGCTCGACTTGAAGGAAATTGCGAAGTTGGCTGGAGAATGATTGCGTATCTGTCAGGATCATGACTCACAGAGGGCAAACTGTTGAACGATAAGGTAAACGGAACGATCAAATCGATCGCATAGGACCCTACAAATGTGCCTATCTAATTGATTGAAACTGGCAGAAGCAACCCTAGAAAATTCTGGTGGAAGCCTTTCGATTTCTTTGCCACAACAGGTGATTGTGGTGGTATCTGTCATCGGCTTGAAACGCTGACGGTCACACGAGCAAGACGCGACGCTTGAGCGCCGACTGGGTTTCCATCTTCAGCAGTATCGGTCTTTGGGCATAGTCGTACTCTGGCGCACTAGACGCCTGCTGCCGACACCTCTAACAGCCAACATGGATACACCGCTCACGCCTGCACAACTCCTTTACTACTACTAAAAGCGCAGAAATAACTGAGAAAGCGGAGGGTGGTCGATGACATTGTTGATGGACATAGACAGATGATACTGATCCGGTATAAACCTCGCTGGAAATATTCCAAATAGCTGTAGAAGCAAAGACACGCCTGTCCATCAACATATTGCTGTAGAGCTTATCTGGGCTGACCCCAAAGTGGTGCACAGAGCGAAAGTGTTCTGGTCCGATAAAAACAGCTGTGATGTCGGCAAATTCTATGAATGTCACGGCTGCGCAAAAACCCTACATTGTGCGCTCAAAATAATCAACCGCACCCAAAAAGAAAGGTCTTCGATCGTGTTCGCCGCGGATCGTGCGAGCCCACATAACCGCTGCACACTCCCCAACTTGTTGATATGGTGTCGAATAATTGGCAACGAGTTTGACAATGTCCCTGTCAAAGCTGCGCTTGTAATGTTGCATCTCTGCGTGCTCAAATCGTTCCTGCTTTTAATAGACTTTGTCGCTGCCGCTAGCATTCATAGAAATGCACGCAACGGAAGAGCATGTACTTTAGGTTCAGACTGCTCGTTTCAACGCGCCAAAGCCGCTTCATATGCAAATCATTGAACTGGACGCTCCCTGCACTCGGTTGTCTCATGAAAACTGCTCGATTCAATGTGCCAGAGCCGCTTGGAATGCAAATCATGGGACCGGATGCTGCTCGCGCTCTATTGTCTCTCCAGTACTGCTCGATTCTGCGAATTGCCGTTCTCCAACAAATTCCATCGACAGGTCGTGCCTTCTACCGATCATCTCTCAAATATTGGCGCGCGGTGTCTTTCCTCAATGAACATTTTCTGTATAGCTGTTGGCTCTGTCTATTGAGTCCCGTCGTCGCCATCGCTTGTTGGCGAGACCAGATCTCCAACTCGCTGATACAATGAGTCCACCTATCGAACACCGGCATCCCTTTGGACTCTCACCTCACAGAACCTTCGCTGCAATACGCTTCGGCTTTCGATAACACGATGCCGCTTTTGGCCAAAGAGCAACCTGTCGATTTGAAATGTCACACGCAGAGACATTTCACGCACAGTCAAGATGGCTCAAGGGTGCTAGGGACCTTCAAGTAGCCTGGTACGTAAACTGGAGCACTACCCGCACGAATCGGCTCGACTGTTTTGACGAACGGCCGCTTAGTAGCTGGGCACAAACCGCCACAGCCTGACGCCATGCCTTATCGCTGGACACGTACGTCTCGGTAGCTCGAAGACCTCGGCACAAAAGAAAAGCGATGCTCGAGCTGTGTGACGCCACAAATTGTGCACAGTGTGTGGCTGTGACGGCTGGCCGACAGTAGTACCCGGATCCATGTTTTCGACTGCATGTACTCACATGGACGGTGCAACGTATATTGAATAGCGTAAAGTAGGAGCAGCTGATTTTTGGGTGCGAATAGACGAAGCCGTTAACGGCAGTATTCTGATCCGACCAGCTGCACGTAGGCTGCCACCGCACAAGTTTGCCCACAACATGTCTGCATCCACGAGCTTTATTGGCAGCTCATACTAGAATAAAGGTGAATCGGTTTGATTACTGCATGCTTGCGCCAACTGGTTTGAACGTCACACGACTATTGTCCGACGACGGGTACCAAAATTCCTGCCTCTGTAGCACAAAATATCGGGTCTGGACAACGCTTATCAAGTGACAAAGATTGAATCACCTTAGGCCACTGGATCATCCCGCCAACCATTTTCATTTAACAATTTGCGCCCCACTGCGAAGTCTCCTTTGGCCGCTCTGTCACTCCGTCATGAAGCCCCTATACTTTCGAGCGCTCATCGTCAGTGGCTTGCTGTCCGCCATGTTTTATGGCGCTTGGGGTGGCTCCGTACGAGAGGCACCGGCACCTGGTGCTCATGCACTCGATCACGAGACGGTGAAGACGGCACCGGCACCTGATGCTCATGCACTCGATCACGAGACGGTGAAGACGGCACTGAGTGCCCAAGCTACCACCAGCGCCGAGCAAGAAGATCGAGGGTGGAAGATTCCCGACGTTGTCCCTTTCCTCCATGGCTTGGGTCCAGCCAAGTTCGAGAGGGTTCCGCCAGATACAGGGTACATCGCCCATTTGAACCTTGATGTTGGCAAGGGTGAAGGTCTCCGTCGCATACAAGCTCCATCCCCCTTCGACGGCGAGGCCGAAAGGATAGTGGAATGGATGGCTCTCAACCTGTTTTCACACGTCTCATCCATGAATCCGCCTCGGCATTCGGTCGAGCTTGCTAAGATACTGGAAGGCTTGAGTCCGTCAAGAGCGGCACTCGTGCTTAAACATGCGAGTAAACTCAGAGGGACACAAGCGTGGGTTGAAATGGCTGAGCAGACTCTGGCTGAAAGGGTTACATCAAGGAAATTCACCGATGGGGGAAATGGTCATGTCAAGTCGCCGGTCGCTGGCGAAAAGGCAGCACTCATCCTTTCCTTCAAGTGGAAGGAGTTGCAACTAGAGAGTCTCTATCAACGGATTTTCTTCAACAGCGCACAAGAACCGACTACTCTGCAGCTGGAAAAGAACGTTGCTCAGCAATTAGGCGATCTGCCTCTTGACGATGCTGCAATCGTGGTTCAAATCGCGAAGAAACACAGCAAGACGAGTAAACTTGCTGAAAAAGTTCAAAAAAAACTGTTTGATCAGTTCAAGCGCGCGGGTTACACGCCTGAGGACATGGAAATGGGTTGGTTGCTGCCGGCTAGTCAATTTGACAAGTCTATTTACGGTGGACTTGTTAAAGCGCTTATCGACGATTACAAGAATGCTTACACGTGGCGGAGATACTTGTTTGGATAAAGTCGCCTTTGATCAGTTTGGTGAGACGGTCCGCTACGTCATAGCTTTAATAATCGCTAGTACATGTTGTTGCTTATGTTTATCGTTGTTGTGTTTTGTGTCCTGTGCCAGTCACGCACACAGCACCGGCTTGCTTTGGTACGGATTTTTTGTAGCAAAGTCATATGAATCACTACTAGCATATCGCGGCTCTCGTAAATAAACGTACGCACAGTGGCCAACGTGTGTGGCGTACGACACTTGCCACAGAAGATTACAAAGCTATTATTCCGTAGTTAATCGTTATATTACCACTACATTGCAGTGACCTAAGTAACAATATACAGAAATCTCATACGTTCACTGCTAACCAATCGAGTAGGAAATATGCTACTGCAGTATCTGCCTGGATTTGAATATGTCATCAACCGAGTTTATTACATAGTGCCATTGAAGCACGTTAATACATGTCACGTCCTTCATTAAAACCGTATTAAGCAAAATCATCAACTTTTTTCGCTTCCAATCTTTTGCCACGTACCATTTAATCCATACATGGGAAAAAGGTACGGCGTAATTGTTATTACTGTAAGCTATTGCACTATTGCAAGTTGCAGGGCTGTGCTTAAGTAGTGTGCTTATCATCATAAATCCCCGCGATCATATCTAATACTCTCTTTGCATGTAACGGGATGAGCCCGTGGCTTCTCATTAACGCCAGATTGGTCATTTCATATACATTATGATACTTGATTACTGTGTAACATGAATTTTACCAGGTAAATGTTGAAGAAAGACCACCTTCAAAGGTGAGATGTAGTACATACCCACGTATTTGGTAATACAGGCCATCATGTGAGCTAACTAAAAGGTCTCTCTTACTAGAAATGCGCAACGAAGGTGTGTGCGAGTGACTACATCTGACATTTATGAACACATGTAGTGAAAGTCCGATCAAATGGGTTTTTGAATTGAAATTTTCCTAAACTAATCACAGTCTTACTGTTATACTTTGACTGTGTGTATCGTTTAAAAGACTAAATCTTTCTCTGCACGAACAATGTACGTTTCGGTGCACTTGCCCTTTCTCTGCACGAACAATGTACGTTTCGGTACACTTGCCTACCCAATGTCTATATTTTAATAAATTAATCTTTTTCTTTAAAAATTAAATTTATATCATTAGAGAAAAAGAATATTTGTCAAAATATATCGCGAAAGAATCTTAACTTTTCATTTGGATTATAAATCAATTGATTCGATATGTAGATAGCATGCACGGTGTCAGTGCATACAGGGGGCGCCCCAATGCACTGTATCGATTTTCGATAACAGCAATTACCACACTAATAAAGCACGCTAATTTTATATCGGGATGATAGCCGTGCCCGCGAAAGACTTTAAAGTTGAAATCTCTGAACTCACTCTCTCGTACTCAAAATTTACTAAATTTATGCCTGACAATAATTATTGATCGAAGGAAATACACATATGAATGTTCTGCTCTATGGTGTATGCAGCGGCTTATAAAAGCCCCTCCTTGCCGAATGAAGGCTTAAGCTCAAAAGCTTATTCAATATTCCGATTAATAAACAACTGAAAGCGTCAACTAGCTCAGCAAACAACGACTTCAAGATTGAACTTGTAAGTAAGCGATGACCTGAACACCCTCAGATGTCTGAAAGGCTTTGATTCATAGATGCTAGGGTCTCAAAGAAACGAGATCACGAGTAAACCGAATGAGATGATCCGGAGTTTGTCAGAACGGGCGCACACTATTTTAACGGCAGATAATTATAACTGATTTTTGTTAAGCTTCATGAAGACAATCAAATTCCATCTGAGTACAAAAATCCAAGGATCTACTTTTTCTCGGAGTAATACCTTTCATTGGTTTTGCTGATGTAAAGTATACGTGTCTTATCCAGATCGCTTATTAAAACTATATGTACACCACAAGGTGTACTTATACCTTTAATGCGGTGGTAAATCGACATGTATCACAGTTCGATGCTAGCTAGTTCGTTTTCACAAAGCCCTATCACAATAGTATGCCTATTTGTAGCTCCAGAAGCGAATTCTGCGATTAGTTTATATGATATATGCCATATGAATTAGTCCTCATTCCTAGTTTACGTAACGGAAAAGATAAGTTTTCTAGTTTGTGGTAACACGGCAAGCACACGTGAGTGCAGTGTTGCGTCTTTTGGCAAACATCCGGACTTTGTTAATTGCTATGCGGCGTAAATGGTCAAAGAACGATACAGGATGTAAAGATATTTCATTAACAACAATTCAAATGAAATCTGTACAAAAATTGAAAAATAAATGTCGCCATTATCCTATGTTGCACAAAATATTGTGCTTTTATTCCATTCGTAATTGTGATCATGCCATCGAAATAATCTGTTATGATACGCTTTGATTCTCAACCAATATAAAGACAAAATTTGAAGATCACCTTTTGGACCGGTAGCTTCAATTTCTATACAAAAGTATCTTGTACGTACGAGACAGCATTATGTAGTTAGTCTTGTAAAATCTTAGTATGGTAATCTTTGTTTCTCTCGACGATGAAAGAATCTGTTGGAGCAAGGTTTCGATTTCGATCCGATGAATAAACCAATCGAGTATATACAACGCAAGCAACCCATCTGGTTTCGTCAACAATCGCATTAAACGATTTGATCGTACGAATAGAAAAGTAGCCGATATCATGTCTTCAACAATCATCGTAAACGTCTGAATCGTACTATTGCGATAACAGCCGATATCTCGTCGTCAACAATTGCAATAAAAGCATCGATTACAACATTTAGAAAGACGCATTTCTAACATGCATTCCGCCGGAGCTAAACGGCATATATTATCATACTTATACGTCATCAATGACCTTAAAGCATGGTCATATCCGTTAATTCATATGTTTCGTTTAAAAAAATTGTAGTCAATGCACGAGTCATTGAACACATTCCGACGGAGAATCACCAAGATGCGTCCAAACATGCCGTCGAATTGCGACATTCGATATATGTTTTAAAATCCTTTGTCCGGATTTTCATAATAAATCAATTTCAAAACCAATGTCCATTATCACTGAAATCTTACTATCACGAGCATTGAAGATTGCGCACTTATAAAAAATCGTGGACTATTGTGCGGAGTTTATATGCGTCACACGTACTATCGGTCTTAGCTAAATCGATGAGATTTGAGTAAGTTCTTTATGCACAAAGCACCAAACGTTCATCGACTGAAGCCGTAAAGCAATAAATATCATGACATATTGAATGCTGGTATTATATATTATACGTAGATAAAAATTAGGTGAAGGATAGAATAAAACCTTTTAATCGTGGCGAAGCTAACGAGCGTATTTGAAGAGGGTAAAACAACACGATTATTAAAATTTGTCAATCTTATTGGCATGTGTGAACGTAATATATATTAAACGGTAGAAGTCATGACAATGTGTAGCTAAACAAAAAGATATTTACTTGTAAAGACGATTATACTTTGCCGATTAATTGTAGCACGTGGTCATTCGTTAGGCATCGATTAATTTAAAAATTATGGAACTCGGCATAATCATGTTATATAAGGTTACACTTTCGATCACACCAGAAAAAACTTCAGGCATGACATTGCGGTCCAAAACTTTCCATGGCGTCGATTGCTTTATATATCGACCGTCAAATCCTACCGGCGATTTTAGCATCACGACTTTATCTCCAGCAAATAAAATCCTGCGAAGGAGCACCAGGGAAATCAAATTTTTCCATAAGTAGTATTAGTGTCCACCTTTTATTTTATCTTACTCGTGAATAAAAGAATATTAAAGCGTGCGAGCCTTTCGACAGATTTTCTATACAGCAAAAAAAGGCACTTAACGCAGTGCTAATTCTGTAAGGTCCTAAAAATAGTAGATGTTAACCCTTCAGCTTGTACAGAAAATGCAATATGCCGTACTATAGACCAGGAGATATATTTGTATAGGTTTCTTCTAGCAGCGACAAGAAATTTGGTCGACCCGGGATTCACCTAATTCCAATGAATGCGCAATTACGAATAATGTAATACAGATTACAGTAAATGTCTCCGGTAGTGTCGCGTTCATCTACGATCCTATTCACCTCATTGAAGGGTCATTATATTTGTCTCGTCGGTAGATCGCTTTGCGTCGTGAAAGACGGTTGGTCACTTAATCAAAATGTTGTTCAACTTGTCGTGTTACAATCTGGCGGAAATCTGGTAAAAGAATATTGGTAGAAAAAAATCTATTAGGATCGAGCTGGTCTTTCGATACATAGGTTGAGTGTTATCTATAACCAGCACTCCCAAAAAAATCGAATAATTAAATTGAAGGAGTGTCGATGATTCCCGACGATATGAAATATTTGCATATCAAATATGCATTTCTTTTGTTCGTGAGTTTGAAGCGTATATTTGCGGTTGTAAATGATCTCGACACAACTATTTGCACTATTTAAGGTGTCAAAACACGCTGTGGTTTCTATAATTACCAAGCAATCAAACAAGAGTAAACTATTAAATATATTTCAGCACGAAAAAGATACACTTATCGTGACATTCAAAAGGAATTTAGCAAAGAGAGTGATAAAGACGGAAACGTTGATCGGACACACGTGCGGAGGATAATCGACCACTGAATATGAAATATTCAACATTGATGACAAGAAGATGAAGCAAATGAATCAGCCCATTTTTTTGACTATACTAGGATTAATAAATATTTATAAATCGAACTCGTTTTACAGAGCATCTATTCATGAATATGACGGGGTGATGTGGCTACACGATGTTTGTAATAGTCACAGCTTATTATCAGCGACAAAAAACTGGACAATAAGTAGCTCAAAGCGTTGTTTTTTACCTTCGTAAGTGCTTAAACTTGTAAAGAACCAAGCAAAATTTGTATGAATTCGTGATTTCCGCGGAATCGTTTCGGTCATGAAGACAAAAGAGTAGAAAATGCGGCACTATAACCATAAGAAATTAAA